GAGCCAGGGGCGGACTGACAACTCATGGGGCCCCTGGGCAATAAGGGATCATGGGGCCCCTGTGTCCTTGCCCAAACAAAAAAGCCTATGAAAAAGATACCAGGGGCATCTCATGGGGCCCCCTAATGCCCTGGGCCCTCGGGCAGTGCCCGAGTTTCCAAATGGTTGGAGCACACTCACATTGCTAAGTAGCCAACTGAAGGATCCACCTATGGGGGGTCTTGGCACTGCACAGGTAACCCAACCCATGGCACCTTTCTTATCCAAAGGTCTTGATGCCTTAGGGCTTTGGAGAGAATACAACTTATAGTTCTACACAATATTTGCCATCTATGATACCTGCACTAGAGGTAAGTGTATATGGCTCTGAAAGCAAAACAGAACATATAACCCTACTGAAAAGAGGTCTCCCTGAAGGAGGTGCCTTGAAAGAGTCCTGTATTGTTATTTTTCATCACTACCTCCTCAGGTCAGGCGTGGGTAATTTGAACGCCTGCTGCCTACACAGCATGCTTCTTTATATGACAACCTCCATTTGCTCCGCCATGTCCCCATCTTCAACAATGACTCCTCCACCTGCAATTGGCATAGACAACTCAGCAAGAAAGAACCTATCATGGTTTCATGGAAGCTACCAGTCAAAAGTCCCTGTCACCTCTCTATGGGGTATTTTTTCAGGGGGAACATGGGGGAATGCAATTCTGGCACTTTCAACTTTGAATGTATGTAATGACAAAGGGTGCTGAGGTGTGCTGCAGGGTCTATTGATGCTGGCTGCTTGGGGAGGTATTGTTGCTGGGGTATCTGTTGTTGAGGGAGGGGTCTGTTGTTGTTAAGGGGGGTATTATGCTGCTCCGGGGGGGGGGGGGGGGGTCTACTGTTGCTGGGAGAGGCTATTTTTGCTAGCTGCAGTGGATTTATTATACTGCTTTTCTTCTTATCAATACCAAATTACATACAAATCACTTAGCAAACATCACAAACGAATACTTGATTCTGCTTTCTCTAAAAGGGATGGTACTGGGAGGTAGCTAGGGGGTGGAACCAGGATGCAGTGTTTGGAGGTGGGTAGGGTGCAGGGACAATAGTGATTCTGAAGGGGGGAGTACCTGCACCTATTTTCTGGGAAAAAAGCCCTGCCTCTTTATATATTTAGTAAGCTATGTTGCATGAAGGCTAAAACCTAACAGTATTTTCAACACAAGTGCAGTGACCATTACCAATAAACAGCAACCAAATCAAATAAGTGCATCTGCTCACAAGTGAACACTTTATCATCTCAGTTTAAAACATGGGTGCACCCATTTTTTTCTTAATTTTGTAACCCAATGAGTATATTGATCTTAAGTTTCATTTTTTTTTTAACCACTTGACCTCCAGAGGATTTATCCCCCTTAATGACCAGGCCTCTTTTTGCTACTCGGCGCTGCACTAATTCAACTGATAATTGCGTGGTCATGCAATGCTGCACCCAAACGAAATTTACGTCCCTTTTTCACACAAATAGAGCTTTCTTTCGGTGTAATTTGATCACCTGTGCGCTTTTTATTTTTCACGCTATAAACAAAAAAATGCCAAAAATGTTAAAGAAAAACAATATTTTTTACTTTCAGCTATAAAAAATATATAGTAAACTCAAAGTTGGTTATAAATTTAGGCCAAAATGTATTCTGCTCCATGTTTTTGGTAAAAAAAAATCCCAATGAGTGTATATTGATTGCTTTGTGTGGAAGTTATAGCGTCTACAAACTATGGTATAAATACTGCAATTTACGCCATTTTTCTGCTATACAGCGCTGCGCTAGTTTAACGGACAATTGCGCGGTCATGCAATATGGTACATAAATGAAATTTACATCCTTTGTTTCCCCACAAATTGAGCTTTCTTTTGGTGGTATTTGATTGCCTGTGCGGTTTTTATATTTTTTGCGCTATAAAAAAAAAGGCTGACAATTTTGAGGAAAAAAAAAACAATATTTTGGACTTTTTGCTATAAAACATGTCCAGTAAAAAAAAAATGCAAAAATCAAATTCAGTCATAAATTTCTGCCAAAATGCATTCTGTGACATGTCTTTGCTAAAAAAAAAAACCCAATACGTGTAAATTAATTGGTTTACGTGAAAGTTATAGCGTTTACAAATGGCGGGAAAGATACTGGGATTTTTAGTTTTTTTTTAATACTAATAATGGCGGCGATCAGCGAATTATGGCGGCGATCAGTGACTTATGGCAGCGACTTATGGCGGGACTGCGGCGGACATTCTGACATTGGGGGGTACTGACTTGGGGTCACAGACATCCCCAAAAACACTAATACAGTGATCAGTGCAAAAAAAAAAAAAAACACTGACACTGTACTAATGGCACTGGGGAGGAAGGGGTTAACTTTATTTTGCAGGGAAGGGTTATCTGAGTGAGGGGAGTGTTTTACTAGGGGGCGGGGGGTGTGTGCTGGACGGGACAAGGCTGATCGAGAGAGAGAAGCTCTTCTTTCTCGAACAGCTCGTCCTCGAGCTGTCAGGGAAGTGACAGACAGCACAGCTACTGCAGCCCTGCTCTCTGACACTGTTTGCCGCCGATCGCCGGGAAACAGCCGGTAAAGACCGGCTGTGACCCGGTGACCGACATCCGCGGCGGTGATCGGCGGGACAGATAGGGCGGCGGCGTGCCTTGCACGCGCCCCCTATCTGTTTACAAAACACGCGTTTTAAAACGTGGTTTTGCCTGCCAGTGCCGCCCTGCCGCCGTATTTCTACAGTGGCAGGGTGGCAAGTGGTTAAAAGTTCATTCCATAATAGGCAATTAAGAAGGAAAATCCAATTCTTAATATCCATCTATGGTATATATTTTTTTTCATATCTACAGAAGAAAATAAATGATCCCATGAGTCTGTAACTCACTGAAGGCCCCAAAAGAAATCATGATTGTTATATAAAGGGGACCAGAATGTAAGTTGTACCACACTTTAAATGTTTCCTGTTGTCCCCTTGTGTGTTTTATGTCTATTGTGTTATTCCATTTTGCCCTGAAATATTGACATTTTTATATGTATTATAATCCAATGAATATATTGTCTGTTCATGTTTATTAATGTAATGCAATTGTATTACATTACAAAAAGACTGTTTTGCTGAGGATTTTAGATTTATAAATTAATGTTAAGTGTTTTTTTTTTTAATATTTTCATTGAACATTTTGAACATTTCAAACATTTTGAACATTAGGATAAGATTGAGAGAAAGCTATCCAGAAGGTTGGAAACTATTTATTGTGACCTGTGCTGCATATATACAGTGGGGATCGAAAGTTTGGGCACCCCAGCTAAAAATTTGTATTAATGTGCATAAAGAAGCCAAGGAAAGATGGAAAAATCTCCAAAAGGCATCTAATTACAGATTAGACATTCTTATAATATGTCAACAAAAGTTAGATTTTATTTCCATCATTTACACTTTCAAAATAACAGAAAACAAAAAAATGGCGTCTGCAAAAGTTTGGGCACCCTGCAGAATTTATAGCATGCACTGACCCCTTTGCCAAGCTGAGACCTGCCAGTGTCATGGATTGTTCTCAATCATCGTCTGGGAAGACCAGGTGATGTCAATCTCAAAGGTTTTAAATGCCCTGACTCATCTGACCTTGCCCCAACAGTCAGCACCATGGGTTCTTCTAAGCAGGTGTCTAGAAAACTGAAACTGAAAATAGTTGACGCTCACAAAGCTGGAGAAGGCTATAAGAAGATAGCAAAGCGTTTTCAGATGTCAATATCCTCTGTTCGGAATGCAATTAAGAAATGGCAGTCATCAGGAACAGTGGAAGTTAAAGCAAGATTTGGAAGACCAAGAAAAATATCAGACAGAACAGCTCGCAGGATTGTGAGAAAAACTATTCAAAACCCACGTTTGACTGCACGATCCCTCCAGAAAGATCTGGCAGACACTGGAGTTGTGGTACACTATTCCACTATAAAGAGATACTTGTACAAATATGGTCTTCATGGAAGAGTCATCAGAAGAAAACTTCTTCTACGTCCTCACCACAAAAATCATCGTTTGAACTTTGCAAATGAACATATAGACAAGCCTGATGCATTTTGGAAACAAGTTCTGTGGACCGATGAGGTCAAAATTGAACTTTCTGGCCGGCATGAGCAAAGGTACGTTTGGAGAAGAAGGGGCAAAGAATTTAATGAAAAGAACCTCTATCCAACTGTTAAGCATGGGGTTGGATCAATCATGCTTTGGGGTTGTGTTGCAGCCAGTGACACAGGGAACATCTCACGAGTAGAAGGAAAAATGGATTCAATAAAATTTCAGCAAATTTTAGATGGTAACTTGATGCCATCTGTGAAAAAGCTGAAGTTAAAGAGAGGATGGCTTCTACAAATGGATAATGATCCTAAACACACCTCGAAATCCACGGGGGATTACATCAAGAGGCGTAAACTGAAGGTTTTGCCATGGCCTTCACAATATCCTGACCTCAACATAATTGAAAATCTATGGATAGACCTTAAAAGAGCAGTGCGTGACAGACAGCCCAGAAATTTCAAAGAACTGGAAGACTTTTGTAAGGAAGAATGGGCAAAGATACCTCAAACAAGAATTGAAAGACTCTTGGCTGGCTACAAAAAGCGTTTACAAGCTGTAAAACTTGCCAAAGGGGGCAGTACAAGATATAAACTCTGCAGGGTGCCCAAACTTTTGTAGACGCCATTTTTTTATTTTCTGTTATTTTGAAAGTGTAAATGATGGAAATAAATTCTAACTTTTGTTGACATATTATAAGAATGTCTAATCTGTAATTTGATGCCTTTTGGAGATTTTTCCATCTTTCCTTGGCTTCTTTATGCACATTAATACAAATTTTTAGCTGGGGTGCCCAAACTTTCGATCCCCACTGTAATTGTCTTTGCTATCTTTATATGATATGTTGCTAAATTTCTCATGTTTTTAAATTAATTTCCTTTTTTTTCTTGTTTTTAAGGCTCTTTTTTTTGATGGAAATTAACAACAGTACCTTGGCCACTGAAATTGTTCTGTTGGGCTTTTCGAAAAATCTTAACATTAACATTGCACTGTTTTTATTGTTTTCTGTGGTCTACCTTATAACTCTTATTGGAAATGGTCTTTTGATTTGCATCATCTTGAAAAACCACCATTTACATATTCCCATGTACTTCTTTCTTTCCAATTTATCCTTTATTGACTTCTTCTATTCCTCCACAGCTTTGCCCAAGCTTCTAGTAGACCTCCTATCCAGAGATAGAATAATTTCAATCACTGGTTGTGGCATCCAAGTATATATCAGTATTTTCTTAGGAGATACGGAATGCTTTGTCCTAGCCCTCATGGCTTATGATCGCTATGTTGCCATCTGTCACCCTCTCTACTATCCTATCCTTATGAGGTGGAGTGTATGTTTTTGGTTGGCCTCCTTTGTATGGATTTTAAGCTTTTTTATATCTGTGGTTCCATCTCTTCTAATGCCAATGAGAGTGTGTAACCCAAACCAAGTCAACCATTTTATGTGTGAGGTTATAGCCATTATTAAGTTATCTTGTGACAATATATATATGAATCAACTCGTAATATTTTCAATCAGTTTTTTCACCCTTCTCCTGCCTTTCATGCTTATTATCTGCTCATATGTTTGCATCATATCATCAGTCCTAAAAATCCACTCTGTTGAACGTTCCAAAACCTTTTCCACATGCACGTCTCATATTACCGTGGTGATTTTATTTTATGGGACGGCAATGGTCATGTACTTCGGGCCATCTTCTCAATACTCAACGGACCAAGAAAAATTTATCTCTGTATTTTATGTCATTGTCATTCCCATGCTAAATCCTCTCATATATAGTTTAAAGAACAAAGAGGTGAAAAAGGCTTTTTTATCAGGAAAATCTGTTTCTCACTCATTGTATTAATAAGATCCAGGGAGGGACTGAGGTACGGGAACTTTGAGCCCTGGACATAGTCCATGCTGACCATTATTTACATCTGTCTGCTCCCTGTTTTGACCTGTGCTCACAGTGTCTGGCAAAGGTGTTCAAGCACCAACTTCCCTTGTGGCTCAAAGATGGCATGTGGCAGCATGACATGCTACACAGGGGGTCCTTGCTCTAGGGGCCAGTGAGGGTCTGAGCTTTCTTCTTTCTAAACTCCACTGTCTGTAGGTGAGTCCCTCTCCATTGGGGCCACCTCCCAGCCTCACATCCTTTCTGTCTTCCATCCGAATTGTGTGTAACTCAACATGCAGTTAAACCCACCTGCTCTGGAATAAGCCAGACTAAATGTAATCTTGAAGCTTTATTAACAAAACAGGGTGGGGTGAAACTATTAAGATAAAACAGAAAATAAGTACATATATTTAATGTAAAAACATACAGAAAACACAATGAATAGTTAGGCTATAGATAACTGAAAGTCCAAGTTGTGTGCACACATATGTGCATGTGCCTGCGGGTGCGCACGGGAATGCGCATTGGCTAATTCTGGTGCCTACTGGCCTAGGTAAGTGCAGCAGTTGTGCTAATGATTTGCTGTCTGATCTGCAGCTCTCCCTGTGTTTCCTTTTCTGTTCCTGTATTGATACTCTGATTGACCCGGCTTGTCCTAACCTTGCTTGAACACTACTTGCACTGACCTCGGCTTGCTTCTTCTGTCTCTGCCTATGGTATCTGCCTGATCTTCCTCACTGCTGCTGACATTGTCCTGTGACCTGGCTACTCTTCTGCCTGCCATCTATGTTTGACCTGCCTGCCTGTTACTGACCTGGCACATCTGACCCTGCATCCAGGTTCGCCTGCTACCAGCCTGCTCTGCTGTGTCATCTGCCCGCTGTCAGCCTACCTGCTACCAGCCTGCTCTACTGAAGCACCTGCGGCCAGCCTGCTCTACTGAAGCACCTGCGGCCAGCCTGCTCTACTGAAGCACCCTGCGGCCAGCCTGCTCTACTGAAGCACCTGCTGCCAGCCTGCTCTACTGAAGCACCTGCGGCCAGCCTGCTCTACTGAAGCACCTGCGGCCAGCCTGCTCTACTGAAGCACCTGCGGCCAGCTTGCTCTACTGAAGCACCTGCGGCCAGCCTGCTCTACTGAAGCACCTGCGGCCAGCTTGCTCTACTGAAGCACCTGCGGCCAGCCTGCTCTACTGAAGCACCTGCGGCCAGCCTGCTCTACTGAAGCACCTGCGGCCAGCTTGCTCTACTGAAGCAGCTGCGGCCAGCCTGCTCTACTGAAGCACCTGCGGCCAGCCTGCTCTACTGAAGCAGCTGCGGCCAGCCTGCTCTACTGAAGCACCTGCGGCCAGCCTGCTCTGCAGTGATGTCTGCCTAAAGCCAGCTGCTTCACTCCTGGCATGCATTCAGCAAGACATCAGCTATTCCTCCGCAGACCACTGGACTGATCAGGCACTCATACCCTGCCATGCTCTCATGGTTGCTATTCCAACTTCAGTGGTCCCTTAGCCGGAGCTGTACGAGAGGCCTTCCTCTACATGTCAAGCTCCTTAATGAGGTATGTAACAGTATCAGACTGCCATGTCTGAGCCTGCAAGAAGAACCTCTCCTATGGATGAGATCTGCCAGCACCTCGCCATCCTGACTCACATCTATGCAGGAAGGCTACGTCCATCTGAAAGAACGTGTGCAAAACCCTGGCTACATCTACAAATTTTGCTACAGCATTTGCTTCTTTGAAACAGCACCAACAAAGACTGCTAATGCATCTAGAGTGATGATGTGGCCTCCTGAACCCAGGGTTCCCACACCAGAAAGGTTCTCAAGGGATCAAAATAATTTCAGAGCGTTTCATAACGCATGTCGGTTATACTGCAACTACAAACTTTTTCTTTGGAATCCACGAATGTGGGATTTATCATCTCTTTAGTTCAGGGAGAACCTCAGACTTGGGCTCAGCAGTTGCTAGAGGAAAAGAATGCACAGCTTCACATTATGTCATCTTTCTTCGATGGCCAGTTGCATGATGATCCTCAGCGAACTGTTACTTGTGAAGCCACATTTCATGTGCTCCAGCAAGGCTGCAGAGCCTGACAACCTATCACATCTTTAAAAGGCCCTGGAGCACCAGGAAAGTGGAAACACCCACAAAATGACCCCATTTTGGAAAGCAAATACTCCAGCGTATTTTGATGAGGCGTAATGAGTCTTTTGAATATGTAATTTTTTTCCACAAATTTTAGGAAAATAAAAGCTTTTTTTTTATACAAAGTTGTCCATTTATAAGATATTTCCAACACATAGCATGTACATTCCAAAAATTACACCCCAAAATACATTCTGCTGCTCCCCCTGAGTATAGTGATACCACATGTGTGAGACTTTTCCACAGCCTGGCTACATAGAGGGACCCAGCATTCAAATAGCACCTTTAGGCCTTCTAGGGGCAAAAATTACATTTTTAATTTCCTGACAACCTATCACATTTTTGAAGGCCCTGGAACACCAGGACAGTGGAAACACCCACAAAATGACCCAATTTTAGAAAGCAAACACCACAACATATGTAGTACAGAGATGATCCTCCTCCTGCGCTACCTCCCTCCCCCCAAATGACCCCAAAAGCCAAAAATGAAGTGGCCACAGACGCCTAACTATATTCCAAAACAGTGAAAAAAAATTAAAGGCGTGAAAGGGTGCTGCGCTAATTGGTGAATGATCAGGGAATGATCAGTGGAAACATAAATTACATCAACTCAATGTAAATATGTCCCTCATCCAAGTGTGAACATAACATATAGAAACATAAAAATTGGTGCAAACAATGCCAAGTGACAGTAACAGCTGCAAAAAAGGCTATAAAGTGCTGGTGACACAAGTGAATAAATCAATAATGCTGATGTATAAAAAAGTGACTCAGTTGCAAAAAATCTATCAAAAAATAATTAAGTGACTCAATCCAGAAAAATCAAAAAGTGACTTAGTCTCAAAAAAAAAAAAATATATATATATATATATAAATATATATATATAAAAGTCCCAAAAACTCAAGAAAAAACACAGTAAATCTTCAGTGCTCATCCAGTGCTGCAAACATATACAAAAAATACCTCCACCAGCTAGCGTGCACGCTCATCTTCAAAATGTGACCCGCAAGGAATCACAAAGCATAGAACACCTCAAATGATGATTTCCAAGAAATTGGTCCTTGATGCAATCAGAGAGCAAAAGGTCATCTCCAATGGCGCCAACAAACACTCACAAGCATGCTCCAGAAATGGCCGCAGACCTCTGACTTCTCCAATGCCTAAGTTCTGATAAGTAGTAAAGAATTTGCCCATCAGACTCTTTAGCTCATTATTAGCCAGAGAGATGGAGGAGATCTTATCAGAAACTGAACTGGTGGTCAGGTACAGGCCAAGTGGAAAAGCATTTAAAGCACGGCTTGATAAATACGTACAGTGCACTTGTAACATCCAGTGCACTAGATTGATTGTTTGTTTATATTTCCATTCTAATAGTACATAGCCCCCTTAAGGATGCATATTTCTGAAGTAAGATCTAAAATGGCCAAACTCACACGTCCGGGCCTAATGATGTCTAGTGGCCCCCTCTGCTGATGCGTTTAGTCACTGTGTGATCAGTGACTTAATCATAGTCCTATTATTATTCCAGTAATTTCCACCGAGGTGTCATTGTGGATGGCGGACAGGATGTGAACGTCTCTCTTATCCTTCCACTTCAGGGTCAGCACTTCTTTCATTTCTTAAACTTGCTGATTCCCCCCTTTGTAGCCTGGTGTTCACTAGAGTGTGGGAAGCCCTTCCTGTTTTTTCGGGAGGTACTGCAGGCCAAGGTTTTCTCATGGTACAGGTGTCGGAAAAGGGGCAGACTGGTGCAGAAATTGTCTAGGTAGATGTGATAACCTTTTTGGAAAAATGGAAAAAAAAAAAAACAGGTCCCAGCCAATTTTTACACTTGTGTTGGACATTCAAGGGGTTGGAGCTAGGAATCGTTGCCTTCCTACACACGGGACGCATACAAACATCATCTGGCACATATTGCTGGCTGATAGCTAAAAAGAGTGGGAAATTTGAGTGGAGACTGAAAAACAGTTTTACTTTTGACTGCTGGTGATTGCTGATGCTTGTAGTTATTTTATTTTTCTTCTTTGGGGTCTCGCTAGAAGCTTTTTCTGTCACTTGTTTTCCTTTCTTTTCCTTGCCTTCCTTCAGTCTGCTAATTATTTGTATAATTTGTCAAAGTTGGGATGATCTCAGGGAGGGCACTGGGTATTGTCACTAAAATGAAGGAAGCATATGAAAATCTCATAGCGTGACCTGAGAATTACAGCAGAATAAATGGGCATGTGGTGGATGGGGTGTGTGGACCAGTAAGCATGTCATTAATTTTTTTTTTGTAAGCCACATGTTAACGGTGAGGCCAAAAAATTCCTCCAGTGTAAGAGGTCTCCATTCAAATGGACGGGCATAGGATGAACTGGAGTTGTTAGTAATATATTGTTGGACAAAAAGGTTTTTCTGGTCCACAATAACATGAAGTAAAGTTTTGGGCAAAAAAAATCAATTTCTGAAAAATGTTCAATGTTGGCCTGCACACCTGGCTGTACGGTGAAAGGGGGAATACTTGCCGATCTTGAGTTGAAGGGCAGCTATAATGGGTTAGCAAGAGCATATGTTTGGGGTCTGATTCTTGGGGTCTGATGGGATATTCCAGTGCTGATATTGGGCCTTTCATCCATGGGTCTAGCGCCATTGGTGTTTGCCGATTGACCATTGGGGTGTATGGCACTGCTGGTGGTTGCCTGGTTTTCAGAGCACCATAACCTTTTTAGGAG